CATTCCCTGGGAACCCAGACGCATCACAGAACCGTCGGCATCTGCAGATGAGCGCGGGATTTCTACAATTTTTACGGCTTCGACTTGCTTACCAAACCCTACATCCAGCACGCTTGGACGGACGGGCTGAAGGATGGGCTTCGATTGCGACGCACCTTCAGGTAATTTTCTGACCTGCTTTCTCCCAGGGTTCTGCTTGGCGCAGGCGGGCCCTGGAGGCACCCTGTAGGACGGCTCGAAACGAAACGAAACGTCGTCGTCGTCGTCGTCCGCCCCCTCGTCTTCGCCGCGAGCCGCAGCGGCCGCCCCAGCCGCTCCCAGCTGTCAGTTCTCGACCCCGAGCGAGCCTCCCGCACGGCCCGGGGGCCGACCCGAACTGTCCGCCCTCCGCGGGCCGAGCTCCGTGGCTCGCTGTTCCAGCGGCCACGGGGCCAACGAAATTATGCTTTTTAAATTCGGAGTCACGAATGCGAAGCAATGTTAGACTCCCCGCTGTCCCTCCTCGTGTCTTCTGCGTTCGCGCCGCCTGCCTGCCGCTGTTTTCGGCTCAAGGGCGGGCCGGGGGCGGCCTCGAAGCTTTGGTGCCTCGCCAATGGAAAGGAGGAGGGAAGGGAGCGGGAGCTAACGCCATTTCCGAATCGTTTCTTCATCGTTACCTCCATCCCTGAGCCAGATGGAACCGCAGAAGCATCAATGATCTCGACTTCTGGAAGCCATGGGGGGGGGTCATTGGGGGCCCTGGTCTGTTTACTGCCATCGTTGAGGCCTGTTTGGCCTTCCTGGCCAGGCTGTGGCGCGCGCCCCGAATTTTCATGCGAATCCTAGGGGGGCTGTACAGCGGGCAAAGATTTGACCTCCTCACTCTAGTTTGGCTTGTTGTTGTTTTCCGCTTCGGGCCCGCTAGAAGACAGTAAAGTGGAGACATGGCTGGAGATACAAGAAACAACAAACAACACTTTAACCGGGCGACATATCCAATCCACAACGGCAAAATACGAGTAGCGCTGACTAGGTCTTTCTTCTCGGGAGGTGAGCTCCCTACGGGGCCACAAAGCGTGTGATGCGCGTGCCGAAACGAGGAGACGCTGCCATACGTGCGACCCAAATCGGCCTTTAGGTGGAAATCCCCATGGGGGCACAAGACATGCAAGGGATGCCGAAATGAGGCGGCCACGCGACACGGGCGCCCTCACTGGGGCCTCAAGGAGATCCCTATCATGGGACTGCCGAAATGAGGCGGTCAAGCTACACGAGCGCTCTCACTGGGGCCGCAGGTGGAGCTCAATATGGAATGAGGCGGTCAGACTATACGGGCGCGCTCACTGGGGTCGCAGGTGGAGCACAGGGGGCCACGAAACGTGCAACAGGTTTTCCGAGATGAGGCGGTCGCGCCATGCGGCCGCTCTCACTGGGCCCGTCGGTAGAGCTCCTCACGGGGCCACGCCACGAGTGATGGGTGTGCCCAAGTGGGGCAGTCACGCCGCACGGGCGCCCCCACTGGGGCCGCATGTGGAGTTCCCTACTGGGGCGCGGAGTGTGTGAGGGGCCTCACGACATGAGGCGGTCACGCCATACGGGCGCCTTGGCCAGGGCCGTAGGTGGAGGTCCGTATGGGGTCACGAGACGCGTGAGGGTGTTTGCCGACATGACGGGCACCCCCGTTAGGGGCCGTGTTTCGAGCTCATTGGGGGTCCACGAAGCGTGTCAGTGGTGTGCCTACATGAGGCGGCGCCACCATGCGAACGCCCTCGTTGGGGCCGTAGGTGGAACTCCTCGTGGGGTCACAGAAGTTGTGAGACGCGTGCCGGCATGAGCATGCGGAGAACAGCGGCACGAGGAGGAGGAGGAGGAGGAGACGGAGGAGGAGGAGGAGGAGGAGGAGGAGGAGGAGGAGGAGGAGGAGGAGGAGGAGGAGGAGGAGGAGGAATTGTCCTGGCGAAGGACCCAACCTGATGCAGTTGTGAATACCCGAGTTGTGATTACTTCCTTCGGTGGAGCGCCCTAGCCGCATGCGAACGCAGCCGCTGGGGCCTTCGGTGGAGCTCCCTATGGGGCCACGAAATGTGTGACAGGGGTTCCCAAAAAGGGGTGTAACCGCATGCGAACGCAGCCGCTGGGGCCTTCGGCCGAGCTCCCTGTGGGGCCGCGAAACGCGTGAGGGTTTTGCCGAAACTGGGGTGGAGCTGCGTGCGAACGCAGTCACTGGAGCCTTCAGTGGAGCCCACTATGGGGCCACGAACCGTGTAAGTGGTGCGCCGAAATTGGGGTGGAACCGCATGCGAGCGCAGCCACTGGGGGCTCCGGTGGAGCTCCCTAGAGGGGCCACGAAACGTGTGAGAGGTGTGCCGAAATGAGTGGCCGAACTGCATGCGAATACAGCTACTGGGGCCTTCGGTGGAGACTCCTATGGGGCCACGAACCCAGCCACTAGGGCCGTGGGTGAAGCTCCCAATGGAGCCACGAAACGTGTGACGGGGGTTCCCAAAAGGAGTGTAACCGCATGCGCACGCAGCCGCTGGGGCCTTCGGCCGAGCTCCATGTGGGGCCGCGAAGCGCGTGAGGGTCGTGCCGAAATTTGGGTGGAGCTGCATGCGAACGCAGTCACTGGAGCCTTCAGTGGAGCCCACTATGGGGCCACGAGCCGTGTAAGTGGTGCGCCGAAATTGGGGTGGAACCGCATGCGAGCGCAGCCACTGGGGGCTTCGGTGGAGCTCCCTATAAGGGGCCACGAAACGTGTGAGAGGTGTGTCGAAATGGTGGTGGAACCGCATGCGAACGCAGCCACTGGGGCCTTCGGTGGAGCTCCCTATGGGGCCGCGAAGCGCGTGAGGGGTGTGCCGAAGTTGGGGTGGAACTGCATGCGAACGCAGTCACTGGAGCCTTCTGTGGAGCCCACTATGAGGACCACGAAGCGTTCGAGGGGTCTGCCGAAATGGTGGCGGAACTGCATGCGAACGCAGCCATTGGGGGCTTCGGTGGAGCCCCCTATGGGGCCACGAACCGTATAAGTGGTGTGCCGAAAAAGGGTGTAACCGCATGGGGCCTTCGGCCGAGCTCCCTGTGGGGCCGCGAAGCGCGTGAGGGTCGTGCCGAAATTTGGGTGGAGCTGCATGCGAACGCAGTCACTGGAGCCTTCAGTGGAGCCCACTATGGGGGCCACGAGCCGTGTAAGTGGTGCGCCGAAATTGGGGTGGAACCGCATGCGAGCGCAGCCACTGGGGGCTTCGGTGGAGCTCCCTATAGGGGCCACGAACCGTATAAGTGGTGAGCCGAAATGGTGGTGGAACCGCATGCGAACGCAGCCACTGGGGCCTTCGGCTGAGCTCCCTGTGGGGGCTACGAAACGCGTGAAGAGTGTATCGAAATGGTGGTGTAACCGCATGCGAACACAGCCACTGGGGCCTTCGGTGGAGCTCCCTATGGGGCCACGAAGCGTGTGATTGATCAGCCAAAATGGCGGTGGAACCGCATGCGAACGCAGCCATTGGGGCCTTCGGTGGAGCTCGCTATGGGGCCACAAAGCGTACGAGTGGTGTGCCCAAATGGGGGTGGGGAGGAGGAGGAGCGGGAGGAGGGGGAGGGGGAAGGAAGTAGGAAGGAGGACGCGAGGCGCTGTATCTTCAAAACAAGGAACCAACACCACAGGACGGTTGGGAAAAAGAAGAGGAAGAGGAGGAGGAGGAGGAGGAGGAGGAGGAGGAGGAGGAGAGGAGGAGGAGAGGAGGGAGGAGGAGGAGGAGGAGGAGGACGGAGACGGAGGAGGAGGAGGAGAGGAAGAGGAGGAGATGGAGGAGGAGGAGGAGGAGGAGGAGGAGGAGGAGGAGCAGGAGGAGGAGAGAGGAGGTGGAGGCGGAGGAGCAGGAGAGGGAGGAGGAGGAGGAGGAGGAGGAGGAGGAGGAGGGAGGAGGAGGAGGAGGAGGAGGAGGAGGAGGAGGAGAGGAGAGGAGGAGGAGGGGAGGAGGAGGAGGAGGAGGAGGAGGAGGAGGAGGAGGGAGGGCGAGGAGCACGAGCAGTACGAGGAGGCTGGCGTGTCTCGCAGCATTGCGGAACAGCAGAGAGGAGAGCCGGAAAGCACAACGCAGCAGCAAGAGCACAGGACGGCAGCCCAGCGGGAAGCTCCACGGCCCTCCGCGCCCCCAGGGCGCGGGCGCCCGAGGCAGAGCGCGGAGGCCCGAGCGCCAGCGGCCACGGCGGCAGGCAGCGCCCGCCACAAAGGCCCGCCGCTCTCCGCGGCCGCCCTTCGGCTCCAAAGAGGGTTTTTGGGGGGAGGGGGTTCTCCAGAGAGCCCCCCAGGGGGGCCTCGGAGCCTCGTCAAGACAGGGGGGTGCGAGGCCCCTGGGGGGCCCCTCCTGGGAAGCCCCCTCCCCCCCAAAGCCCCCTTCTGGCACCCTCCGGGCGGGCGCCGCGGCTGCAGAGCGCGCGCGCGGCAGCCGGCGGGTGGCGTCGGGAGCCGAGCGCGGCCATGGCCTCGGGCGCTCTGCCTGCCGGGGCGGCTCCTCGCGCGGGGGGCAGCGCGCCGGACTCCGGATGCCCGAAATGGGTACGGAAAGAAAGGGTACAATGTCCAACAGCAGTTCCTGCTCATTTTGCACCGGATTCGCTGTCCCCGCCGCCGCGGCCCGTGTCCATGCGAGACAGAAGGCCGCCTGCCCAACAGCGTCCATTCGAGACAGAAGGCCGCCTGCCCAACAGCGGCCTCTGTTGGTTTGGGGCAGCATGTGCTGTTGGGCATCGTACCCATTCTTCCGTGCCCGTTTCGGGCGTCCAAACGGACGTGGAGGGGATCGAGCGCCTCATCTCGAGGAGCAGAGGGCGGCGCGGGCTGAAGCCTTCGGAGGTCTGCGGGGATGTCTCGGATCGGCGCTGGGCCTCCCAGCCCGGCGCCCGAGGCGCCGCCCGGGGGGGGGGTGGGGGGGCAGCGCCGATCCCCCAAGAAGCCGCGCGGGCCTCCGAGAGCTCATGCTTATGCCTGACTCTCTTCCGCGATGATCGAGGGTGCCATGTGCAGCATCCTCGACTCCCGAGGCGGCCTCGGGCGCCACCAGAACTTCTTCGAGGCGGGGCTCCACTCGGTCAGCTTGCCACCTAACTATCCCTGTCCCTAAGATTGGCTTTGCCTCATCTCGGTGGCGATCTTAAGGAGTCCCTCTGTTTCTGAGGGCGCATCCCTAAGATAGGCATCGCCTTTGGTCTTTGCAAGCTTTGGGATGGGGATATGGTCGAGCCTGGTCAGGTCTCCATCGCCAGGGCGCGGCGCCTGATCACGCGGGACCTCGGCGCGGTGCCCGCCGCGGCCTTCTTCCAGCACGCCTCCGTGGCGAGGCTGGCCGCGTTCGTGGCGGCCCTGCGGCGGGAAGAGGGCGGGGGCCCGCCGCTGCCGTGCGCGGGGGCGGCCACGGGCTCGCCGCCGCCGGCGGCCGCCGAGCCGGCGAGCTGCTCCGCGGCCGAGGCGTGTGCCGACGACGTCGGGCGCGCGCTGTCGCGAGCGCGGCTGCTGCTGCGCTTCGGGCCCGCCGGCGCGGCCGCGGAGGCGGCGCGCTGCTGCGACGGCGGGCTCGCGCGCTGGCGCGGCGGGGCGTCGCACCTGGGCCCATCGTGCGTCGAGGCGGCCAGGCAGCTCTGCCTGCTGGGCGCCCTGCTGCGCGGCGCGGAGGGCCCGCCGGGCGCGCCCCTGGCGGAGGACGGGCGGGACGAGGCCGACGAGGCTGCCGCCGAGCTCCTGGGCGAGGCGCTGGGCCTCTGCTCGCAGGCCGGCGCGCACGCGGAGAGCGCCGAGCAAGCGTCGGTGCTGGCGGTGTGGGCGCTGGTGCGATCGCGTGGGGATGGGAGGCCCTGGCGCGTCCAGGCTGCGGTGGCCCGGCTGGTCGCCGCGAGCCAGGCGGCCCTGCATCGACTGAGCCTCGGCTGGGGCCGCGAGGCCGGGCAGCTGCGGATGGACCCGGCCTGGCCGCACAGCAGGGACGCCGGGTGTTGTCCCAGCTGGCCTTCCTCCCTCGGCCTCGCGCCAGGGGCACGGTGGGCTGAGCGCCTGCTGAAGCTGCAGCTGGACGAGCTGGGCCTGGGCACGGTGCCGGGCGAGCTGTGCGGGCTGCTGGTGGGCCTGCGCGAGCTGGACCTCTCGCACAACGTGCTCACCAGGCTGCCGCCCCTGGCGCAGCTGCAGGCGCTGCGCAGCCTGCGGCTGGCAGGCAACAGGCTGTCTTACCTCCCACACGACGTGGAGGAGCTGCCAGTTCTGAGGTGCCTCAGCGTTGCGGCCAACCACTTCCACAACCCGCTGGGGGAGGCGGCCAACTGCAGGCACCTCTGCGAGTTCGACGGCAGCGTGCAGGTGCCAGCGGGCAGCGGGCTCTCCGACGAGGCCCGGCAGCGCTCGCGGCGTGGCCGGTGCGCGGCGCCCAGGAGCGGCTCCCTGGAGACGCTGGACTGCAGCTTCACGGGGCTGTCGGAGGGTCCGCGGGTGGAGATCGGCTGCGGAGGCTCGTTGAAATACTACCTCTGCATCGGCAACGCCCTCGAGAAGGTGCCCGACCTCCAGCACTGCAAGGGTCTCACGTCGCTGTCGCTCGGTCAGAACCTGATCCGCGCGGTGCCGGCCAAGTTCCTGGACGGCCTGCCCGAGCTGCGGTGGCTCACGCTGGAGGCCAACCGCCTCAGCAAGCTGCCGGCGGCCATCGGCAAGCTGAGGTTCCTGCGGAACCTGTTCCTCCAGGGGAACAGGCTGCAGGAGCTACCAGAAGAGCTGGGCTGCTGCACACAGCTGCGCGTGCTGGAGGTGCAGCACAACGATCTCAGGGCGCTGCCGAGGACCCTCTCGGGGCTGCGGTCGCTGCAGTTCCTGTACGCGCACGCGAACGAGCTGGACGACGCTGACGCCATCGTCGGCGCTCTGAGCGCGATCCCCTCGCTCAAGATCGTGGGCCTGGGTGGCAACCGCCTGCAGCTGTCCTGCGAGACGCCCCCCGACGTGCTTCTGCCGGGCGTTCGCCTGGGCATCGGCTGGAACGCCGCAGGCCCGACGGCCCCGCCGCAAGACGGGTGCCCACTGAGCGAGGTGCTTTTCTCCGCCTCCTCCTCCTCCTCCTCCTCCTCCTCCTCCTCCTCCTCTTCCTCTTCCTCTTCCTCCTCCTCCTCCTGCTCCTGCTTGGCCGGAGGACGGATTCAGCTTGTGCCTGCTTCCTCTTGTACACGTGTGCCCGTATGCAGAGGGAGACTTCTGGCAGTGTTAATTATGTGCCAGGGCGTGTTTCGCCGGCCCGAGACGGGCGTTCGGTTCTGCCCTTTGGGAATTTCGGACATCTTCCTCCTCCTCCTCCTCCTCCTCCCTCTCCTCCTCCTCCTCCTCCTCCTCCTCCTCCTTCTCTTCCTCCTCCTCCTCCTCTCTTCCTCCTCCTGCTCCTGGCTTGTGCCCTCTCCTCCTCCTCCTCTTCCTCCTCCTCCTCCTCCTCCTCCTCCTCCTCCTCTTCCTCCTCTTCCTCCTCTTCCTCCATCGCCAGTTACGGCACGGTGTGGTCACCTTTCCATCTGCTCTGGGAAGCGGGGCAGTTCCAGACGGCGGGCTGCGGTCTCTCTCGTGTCCTCTGTCGCAGCCTTGTGCGTGACGCGCGTGTGCTCTTCCGCCCGCTCCCTTGCGCCCGGTGACCCGCGCGGCCCCGCGGCTCCGCAGTGGCGCTCTCGTCTGCCAGCGCTGCAAGCAGAACAGCTCTGCACTGCCCAGACCTAAAAGTCGGGCCTGTCCCTCTACAGGGGGAATATTCAAAGATAGTCAGAAAATGGTATGGGGACGAGTTTTCGACCATTTTCGAGTACCTTAGGGCATTTTGTTGACTATTATTTATCCTTCGTCCAAAATCCCCCTGTAGGGGGGCAGGCCCGACTTAGACCCAGACCCTCGACGTCATGATCCTCCAGGCTTGCGGCACATCCGCCGACCCCCTTGATCTCGTCGGGGGCCTACCCAGGGGCTTTCGGCCTGCCCCGCGAGCGTGCGTGGGCGTCGGGCCCAGAGATGCACAGCCCAGACCCTCGGCGTCATGCTTTTTCCATACGGGGGGGGGGCGGTGGTTCAGGAATGTGCCCAGGAGGCTTCAGACCCTGAAGGATTCCTTATCTGATGAGGGCGGCGGTGATATCCATGGCCAGTCCACGGTGAGAGTTCCAGCGGCTTCCAGACTGTGTGTTCCTGACCCAGTGGTTCCTCACCCAATGCCCTCACCGCAACGTCGACTCCCAGAGGTCTCGGCCCTTTCCCCAGGACGGGCTTTTCATCCCAAGCCATTAGTTTCGGGGGTGGACAGAACCCCAACAGTGACACGTCGATTAGTGAATTGTTTTCGGTTCTCGAGAGGGCGCCGCGGCCGTTATTTTCCAGGCTCGCGCCCGCCAGGTTTGGGCCTCAGGTCGTTTTCACTAAACCACGTTTTACTAAAGGGAGGTCTGTCCATCCCCGATAGTTGACGGCGAGGCCCAGCAAGGGCCCCGAGAGGCCGAGAACAGCGAGAGCAAGAATCGTCGCGACGTTTCGTTTCATAGCCCGATAGGGTGCAGGCAGCCCGCACAGGAAGGATGAACCACGTTCCAAGCTTACCCCCTTGCGTCCTCCCCCCTTCGGCCCATCCCTCGGCCGCTTGCGCGGGCCGCGCCCCGCTCGCAGAGTGCCGACGCGGCCTTCCAGGGCCCTTGCATCATCGTCGTGCGTCCGTAGCGTACTCAATGGCATAAAAAACGCCCCTACCCTGGTTTACGAGGCGCTGTGCGCTGAAACTCCTGTGTGCTGACAGGGTAAACCCTGCGTGATGTGCCGCGTTCTGGCGGCTCTAGGCTTTGGGGGTTCCCAGGAGGTTTACAGACCACGCACTTGTAACCCAGGGTAGGGTCGTTTTTTCATCCCTCAACGTACGGGCCAAACTTGTGCCCTCTCGTGCGCGCCGCCGTGTCTGGGAGGTGCTCTCCTCCACCGACTTCCACTTCGACGGCGCCCGCCGCTGCGGCACGCCGGGGCTCGCCCTCGTGGTGTGCTTCGCGGCGCAGGGCGCGCCCACGGCGCAGTGGGTGGGCCAGGTGCAGGCGTGCCGCTCCAGCCTCCTGGAGGCCCTCGGGAGGCAGAGGAGGAGGAGGGGGAGGAGGAGGAGGAGGAGGAGGAGGATGAGGAGGAGGGAGGAGGAGGAGGGGAGGAGGAGGGGGGGGGAGGAGGGGGGAGGAGGAGGAGGAGGAGGAGGAGGAGGAGAGGAGGGGGGGAGGAGGAGGAGGACGGTGGAGGAGGAGAAGGAGGAGGAGGAGGAGGAGGAGGAGCAGGAGCAGGAGGAGAAGGAGGAGGAGGAGGAGGAGGAGCAGGAGCAGGAGGAGGAGGAGCGGTCCGGTCCCCCATCCCCGATCCCAGAAGTCCGCGCGGATCTTCGACAGTGTAGTGTTTACGGTCGGACCGAGGTGGAAGGCCGAGGTCGGTTCGGGAAGGCTGGAGTAATGCTCTTCGTGCTTGTCGGATGTTCCGCAGGTCGGCCGGCGGAGGGCCTCATGTTGTCGAGGGGTGTTTTTGTTCCTGTCCTGCGAGCCTCGTCAAACATAAACAGAAGGCTTCGGAATTCGGTGATTGTGGGGTCAGCGCCACTCCAATGCTGACGGATTCCTGTTGCCTCGGACACGGCGTTGCCCAAGAGCCGACCCCGCCCTCTCAGCATTGAAGAAGGCGCGTTTTGACAAGTGCCCGAAAGCATCGTGCTCCAGGATTTCAACTTCCATGTCTGGATATGTTTGACGAGGTTTGTAGGTTCCACCGTATTCCTTTTTGCTGTTCCGCGTTGCCACCCCTGGCAACTCCCTCCCGAGAGGTGGACGCCCTCTACGTGTGCGACCCCGCCAACGCGTGGTACCTGCAGGACCCCACCCGGTCGTGGAGGGGCGCCAGCTACTTCCTCGAGCGGCTGCGGGGGTACCTCGCACCCTACGGCAGCCGCGTGCTGATGCTGGGCTCCTCGATGGGCGCCACCGCCTGCGTGCTCTTCGCGGAGCTGGCGGGCCTGGTGCTGGCCTTCAGCCCCCAGATCGAGCTTCGCTGCGGCGAGCGTGGGGCCAATCGAAACAGACCTCCGACGATTTGTAAGGTTTTCAGTCGCGAGGACGCACCGATTGTGGAGGTGACGTTGGTAGCGGATCAGTCGGTTTGGATAAGATCATGGCTTCGCGCCCCCATGGCCGGCTCGCCGCCATTTAAAATGAACGCCGCCTTGGGCCTTCATTTGTCTTTCCGCGGCGCTGGTAGTAAGATTCCGCTGCCTTCCTTTTCGGGCCCAGGGACTCGCAAAAACGATTCCGGGGCGAAACATCGGCCCCGGGGGAAGGGGTTGGGACCCCTGGGGCCGCATATTGAAAAAGGCACGTCGTGCGATGTTTGGCTACCGATGCCGCTGCTCGCCCTGGAGAGCTCTCGTCACCTCGGGTGGGATCTCTTCGGAACTCTGCTCAGACCTGGAGGGACTAAAACAGCATCAACAACATCAGCAGCAGCAGCAGCATCAGCATCAGCATCACTATCAGTAGCATGTTCATCAGCATCATTATCACCATCACCATCATCAGCATCATCATCATCATTATCATCATCATCAGCATCAGCAGCAGCAGCAGCATCATCATCATCATGCTCACCATCATCATCACCAGCATCATAATCATCATCATCATCATCATCATCATCATCATCATCAGCAGCAGCAGCAGCAGCAGCAGCATCCTCATCATCACCAGCATCATCATCATCATCATCATCATCATCATCATCATCATCATCATCATCATCATCATCATCATCATCATCATCATCGGCCTGGGGAGTCCTGGCGGCAGCGGTAGCTCTTGGCCCCTCCAGGCCAGGGGCGCTGGCTGCCCGAGGCGGTGCTGGGGCACTTCGAGGCGCGCGTGGCACGGTCGCTCGCGGCCTGCCGGGGCCGGGTGGTTCTCCACGTGGGGCGACGGCACCACTTCGACTCGCTGGCGGCGCGGAGGCTGCTGGCCACTGCCCCGTGCGTGCGCATCGCCTACCACGACACGGAGCAGCACAACACGTCGAAGTATCCCGAAGGGGAAGAAGCGGCACGGGCATGCGCTGTCGGATGGCCGCGCTGGCGTCTCGCCTCGGCGCCGGGCCCCCCTCGCTGGCGGCGCCTCCGGCCCCGCCCCCGGCGCGATCCGCGCGACAGGGTGGGGGGCCCAGCGCCGCTCCGAGAAACCCGCGCGGAGATCCGAAAGTGTATGTTTTCTGCTGTCTTGGTTCCCTTTGGTATCTGCAGGAGCGCAGGGGGCTCCTGACCGCCACGGTGAAGATGGCGGTCTCGCAGCTGGTCGCGGCCGGATGTCCGTCCGAGCCCCCGGCCCCGTCATGAGGCCTGTCGCTCGCCGGTGGCAGCGAGCAGCCGTGCGCCCGGGGCGCGGGCGCAGACGATGGCAGCGTGGTTGACACGGCTTGTGCATTGACCAAGTGTGCGGAGGAAGCTGTTTATCGGCAACACCGTTCACTTTCTCCTTCTCTCCACCTCCCCTCGACCAATCCTATCCTCCTGTCTCACCGTCCCCTCCCCTCCCTCTCCTCCTCCCTCCCTCCCCCTCAGCATCCACCTCCCCCGTCGATTGGGATGGGCAGGAGGCGGAGTACGTGGGATGAGAAGGAGGTGGAGGAGCAAGAGCAGGTGGAGTTGCAGAAGGAGCATGCTTACAAAATTTGCGCTCCTCCTCATGATCATCATCATCATCAGCAGCAGCATCATCACCATCATCAACGCTGTGTTTGCGCTCCTCCTCCTCCTCCTCCTCCTCCTCCTCCTCCTCCTCCATTCTTGACCCGAACAGATAACTCATCCCTATCGCATCCCCAGACCTGTTGGTAGGGCAGGCTGGGCATTGAACCTGAGACTCCCTCACCCTTTTTGAGGCTGAAGCTTGGATGTTGTCACAGCTTCAAGGATGGTGGGCAGCTGGTTTTCAAAATTCGGCTTTGCCTCACCGCCGCGCACAATCGTCTTCAAAACTTTGAGCCAGTTTCAAGGATGGGCGGCTGGTTTTCAAGGTGCAGCCCTGCCCCAGCGCCGCGCACATTCGTCTTGACAGCTGTTGCAGCAGCTTCAAGGATGGATGGCTGCTCCTTCGCAAAATCTTGCTTTTGCCCCAGCGCGGGGCACATCAGTCTTACAAGTGTGCAGCAGTTTCAGAAAGTCGTATGGTTGGAGTCCCGCGAACGGTGTTCTGGCAGGGCTATCAGGACGAAGCAGTCACGCTGTTTCGCGGCGTTGACGGCCCAGGTGTCCTGGCACGGTTTAGGGCTGCCAGGACGCAGCAGTCACGTGTAGTCGCGGCGTTGAATTCCCAGGAATGGTGTTCTGGCACGATTGGGGATTCCCAGACGGTTCCCTTTCAATGAGGCACTCCCCGCAATGACAGTGCATTCTTGTGGGGATTTATGAAGAGGTAATTCAGGGGGAGGGTTTACTGTAACATCGTTGATGCTCCTTGGGTTTACACTGGTCCTCCTCTTCCTCCTCCTCCTCCTCCTCCTCCTCCTCCTCCTCCTCCTCCTCCTCCTCCTCCAGCGAGGCCCATAGCCACATCGAATGAACTCCCCAGGGGGGACGAGCGCCTCCTCTTACCCCCTTTCCTGCGCGATGCAGGACAAGAGCTGTCTCCCGGAAGGGCCTCCCGCAGGACGCCGAGCCAAAGCCCCAGCCAGCATCGCCAATCCAGCCTGGCGCCCTCCAGCGGGAGGAGGAGGAGGAGGAGGAGGAGGAGGAGGAGGAAGAGGAGGAGGAGGGGGAGGAGGGGGAGGAGGAGGAGGAGGAGGAGGAGGAGGGAGGAGGAGGAGGAGGGAGAGGAGGGGAGGAGGAGGAGGAGGAGGAGGCAGAGGAGGAGGAGGCAGAGGAGGAGGAGGAGGAGGAGGAGGAGGAGGAGGAGGAGGAGGAGAGGAGGAGGAGGAGGGGAGGAGGGGGGAGGAGGGAGGAGGAGGAGGAGGAGGAGGAGAGGAGGGGAGGAGGAGGAGGAGGAGGAGGAGGAGGAGGAGGAGGAGGAGGAAGGAGGAGGAGGAGGAGGAGGAGGAGGAGGAGGAGCAGCAGGGAAGTGTAATCCGCCCTCCCCTTCCCCCCCCCAGGCAGAAGCCGATCTCTGCTGAGGTCTGCGCGGAGGCCAGCTCGGCCCCCGCCCCGAGGGCCCGCGGTTCGTGCCTCGGGCGGCGTGACGTGCCCCGCGCCCTCGCACCCGTGCCAGCAGGGGGCGCGGGAGGAGGCAGCAGCAGTGCTCCTGGGGGTCGTTCGGCGGTCCTGCGGGGGGGGGCCCTTTCTTGGTCCGCTCTTGGGGCCCTCTTGGAGGCCTCCTCTGGGCCATCTTGAGGCCCTCTTGACTCGTGTTCGGGCCCTCTTGGGCCGTCTTGGGGCCTGCCCGGGGGGGCAGGAGGGCTTCTGCGAAGCCTCTCTTGCCGACGGTGGCCCCAGGAATAGGGATGCGCGCAGATCTCCCCGCTTTGCCCCCCCCCCCCCCCCGTTGGTCCCCCTCCCTCGTCCTACTCCCCTTCCCTGAGAGCGTGGGCCCCGCCGCAGCCCCTCGTGGCTCGAGGGCACCCCTTCATGGGCAGGTACATATCCATCTCCGGGTACCGCATACGCGCGCTGCCGCTTGCCGCGCGCTGATCTCCCCAAGCCCAGACCCCCGACGACATGATGTTTTCAATGCGCGGCCCTCGAGGTTTTGGCCCTTGCCCCATGGCCAGTTTTTCGCCTTGGGTCCCCGATCGCAGGAGCCGCAATCAAGGAACAAAAACACGCCGGGATTGAGAAAGTCATTTGTCGGAGATCTGGGACCGTCCAGCACCGCAGCCGTAGGAAGAAGCACGATGACCGTGACCAAGATGTCGCGGGAGCCCGTCGACGCAGACGTCGATCGTGGCCCATATTGGCCGTCGCCGACTTGCGAGGGTAATCCACGAATGGGCGATGACCAAGATGGACGATGACCAAGATCGACACCGCCGAGCTTAGTCCCCAGACATGCGGCCGCTCCAATTTCGTCGATGCGTGGGCCCCGGAAGTCTGGAGCACTTCCCTATAGGGTCGGCTTTTCTTCCTGAGCACTTTTTGACGGTCCCGGGGCCCGGCGAGGGCCCCCGGAGGCCGAACACTGAGTCCTGGTCAGGGTCTGGAGCGTCGGATCTCTGAGTCCTGGTCAGGGTCCTCGCCTTTCTCCCCCTCCAGCCCAGCACCTCCACGAATGCGGCTGCTCCCCGTCCTGCTGGCACTCCCGCTGGCCCGCGCCGTCCAGATCGTGGCCGAGCCCGCCGACCTCGGCGGCACCCGCCGGGCGGCCGCGCAGAGGTCGCCGTCCGGCCTGCTGGACCGCCTGGACGAGAGCGAGCGCGACACCGACCAGGACCCAGCCGCTGCCCCCCCCAGAGATCCAACGCATTGAAGAGATCAAGACGTAGGTTTTTCGTACTTTTCGGCCTCGAGGGGCCCTCGCAGGGCCCCGGGACCGTCAACAAAACGACGCAGGATGGAAAACCGGTCCTGGGGAATCGGTCGAGACTTCCGGGGACCCCGTGTTGAAAAGATCCCGACGTCGTATCTCTGGCCCCGCGGCCGTCCCCCCAGACCAACAAGAAACATCATAGCTTCCACGTCAGTACCCAGGACTGATCCACTGACGCATCCAAGGCATCCTCCAGTCATTGGCACCAAATTCATGCGAAGCAGCCTGCTCTCTCCCCTCGCGTCGCCAGGAAAGCACGGCGGAAGGTGTTCGGCCGTCTTCGGCCTCCGGGTGCCCCATACCGGGCCCTGGGGCTGTGAAAACAGCGGCCCAGGATGAAAAGTTGGTCCCGCGCGAGTGGTCCAGACCTCCGAGGGGTCCACGCTGAAGAAGCCACGACGCTGGAATTTCCGGCCTCGCCCGCATTTTCCTTGAGATCCGACGTGGCGAAGCCGCACACCGCAAGACGTCGTGGCTGGAGCCCTTGGCCCATGCTTCTTCGTTATTTGCCCAAGCCAGATCGATCTGTGAGGGCCGTGGGGCCCGACATTGGGCGGAAACGCCCGTTGTGAAAAAAATGCGGCGCCAAGATCTCAGTGCTTTCAATACAGCATCATCGTTGGTTATGGGAGGTGCCCCAGTCTTTTTTGTTTAGAGTATTCCCCACATCCAAAGTGGGGTCCTTGTTTTCTCCGGACACCCCGCGCAGAAACACCCACCTCAGCCCGCGCAGGACCCGCGCATGAACACACTCACTCAATCACTCACTCAATCATTCACTCATCATCATCAGCATTGTCATCGTCAACACCGCGTCACCAGCACTCGTCATCATCAGCACTCATCATCATCACCACTCATCATCATCATCATCATCATCATCATCATCATCATCATCATCATCATCATCATCATCATCATCATCATCATCAGCTTCATCATCACCACCATCATCCATCGACCACTCACCATCATCATCAGGCCTGATTATCGAGGAAGTATCAGGCGGGAACCTCGTCGGTGAGTGAATTGTGAGGACGTCTCGGGCGGGAGCGCCCTCCCTGAGGGGCTCGCAGATCATGCTACCAATCCGAGGCGGGTCATCGCAATCTTATACCTGTCGTCAACTTTGGGCCCCTCAGGCTTGAATATTGAGGACGTATCAGGCGGGAGCGTCGCCTGTGAGTAAACTGTGAGGAAGTCTCAGACGGGAGCCCCCTCCCTCAGGGGCCCGCAAATCATGTTACGAATCCGAGGCGGGCCATCGCAATCTTGTAAGTAACTGTCGGCCCTTTGGGGCTCCTCAGGCTTGAATATGGAGGACGTATCAGGCGGTGGCTTCGTCTGTGAGTGAATTGTGAGGAAGTCTCGGGCGGGATGTTTCACCAATCGCGACGCCGACGGTAAGGGCTTTTTCCAGATTAGCCGAGAGGATTCTCATGTGGGGTCTTTCCGTCGGAGTTGTTTTTTGTATCTTGAGCTCGTTATGAGGGATTCCTTCTTCAGAGAGGCTGTTTATTGAGGACTCCTTACTAAGAGCTAACTCTACAAGGGTTCCTATCACACAAATTCATTTCATGAGCTCTTTTACTGGGGTTCCTTACTCTTGATTCCTTAGCCGGAAGTCTTTACAGGGAATTGTTTTGCAATTGCGTGTTGCGAACCATTCTTGATTACGGGTTCCTGATGTAGGGTTCACTATTAAGACATCCTTACGACGAGTTCCTTGGTAGTGAGTTTTCACGAAAGCTCATTTCATAAGGACTCCGTATTCCTCATTTGTGATTGAAGACTCTGTACGAAGGATTCCCTGCAAAGGCTCCTTTTACAGAATTCTTTGCGAAGGATTCCCTTATTACAAATGTGTTGTGAAGAACGC